ATTAAGCCTCTGACTGATTTTTTATAAGAGGCTGCAAGACCATGGGGCCAGGTAGGACCAGAGAAACTTAGGGCTACACTCATACATGTAAAATAATCCTAAAAATTTAAAAGTATAGGAGATATCTTTGGAAATGAACAGAAAATAAAAATTAAAAGGACTGCTATTTGCTATTACTGTATCATTTTTTTAAAATCTATTTTGTGGGCCAGTAAAGGAGCTTGCCACCAAGTCTAACTATCTGAGGATCTCATATGGTAAAAAGAGACAGCTGATTCCCATAGTTGTCGCCTACCTCCAAAGGCACTATGACAAACACATGCCCATGCACACACTATTCTCCATGACTTTGTTTTTTGAGGTTTTAGTTATTCATAGTCAATTCAGTCTGAAAACACTAAATAAAAATGCCCCTACATGTTAATTCTGTGGGCTTCTGAGTAGTACAGAAGGATCTCACGCCATCCCATTTGCTCTGCCAAGCTTGGCCCTCACCTCCAGTCTAGCAGATCACTGTTTGTATGCCACCAGCCTGCCCCTTTCTCTGTAGCTGTCCCTGGGACCAGATCGTCTGGCATCACAGTTCTCCTGCTTGTGGAACCATTGTGTCATAGCCAGACACTGTGGCGTGTTGCCTGTCATTCTCCTCTTGTCCCCAAGGCTCGTGCTGCTCATGTCATTACAGGGGATGATAAAATAGTACAGCCTAATGAGATGTTTTTGAGATGTGGGCTAGATTCGTGTGAATTTTTGAATAACCTGTCCTTATAATTGCTCTGTGAGTTATGAATGTCTCCCTGTGCCTAATTATGATAGGCATGTTCTATCATCGGAAAAACATATTCCATAGTTTGGGATTATTGTGACTTCAGGATCCCTTCCAATAAGGGAACCTATTGTATTCCATATTTTCACCTCTCAAAGGTCATTCTTATTCAGATATTTTTCTCCAGTCTGGTGGCAACCATGATCTCCCACAGTGCCACTGGTGACCAATGCTTTTCTTTCATCCTTCTTTGTTAAGCAACAGGAATTCTGTGACAGCTCAAGTTAGTACTTGACTCCAGGGTTTGTTTGTTTGTTTGTTTGTTTGTTTCTCTATTTTGGCCTAACCACAGAGATTTTTCCTTTTGAATTGGTTTAAGAAGAAAATCTCACACGCAATCTTTGTTACTAGATTGTCCAGAAACTCTGGCTTCTTATCAGATTTCTCTTGTCTCCAGGAAGCCAGTCTCAAATGCAAATCTCACAGACTTTAAAAGGTTCGACAAATGTCAAAACACCTTTCACTCCCTCGAGTCCAGCAGCGAGCTGGTGCCAATGATAATTAGAAGTCGTGAAGACAGATTGGCACTTGAGACATGTGTGGGAACAATGTGGCGGCCCAGAGTAGAAGGACTGTACATCTCATGCTTACATAGTCTGCAGTCCTGTAAGGATTTCGGTTTTTGAGTGAAACTGGTTTGGATTTCTCAAATGCTCAGTATGCATATTTTAGAGAGGAATTCATAAAAACTGATTCTGATAGGGACTGAACTCTGGTATCATGACTAAAGACACATTTTTTTTTCTTTAAGCAAAAGTTTAATCATGTCAGTTTTATATAGACAATAGCTTAGGGGAATTTAGAATTAAAAGTTTTTTAGACTTTTTGAGATGGCTTAGATTTGGAACACTTTTAGAAATAAGAAATCATTAATTCATGTCTTAATATGTTTTTGCATGGGGATGAAGAGGATCTGAGCCTTAAATGTGCGAATCTGTTATATTGTTCATGGCATTTTTATTACATTAGCCAGTAAATCCCAGGCAGTCTAGAGTAGCTACAAAAATCACACATATTCTATTTGTATTTCAGCTACCTAAAACAGTATTTTATTTATGCCTACAATGTGTCATACATATACTAAGCCTTTGCATAAATGCTCTGAACAGTTCGCAATTTTTTTTTTTAAATCTGTACACACTTGAGGACTATTCCAATCCTCATTAGTAGCAGTGGCTCCTGACCAGGGGTAGAGTGACTCATCTTTCTTGATATGGAAGGTGTTGCTTGAAGAAAAACCTACCAGAATCTCATGGTGGCAGAATTTAAACTTAAACCTGATATAGCAGTTACTTGTCTCACATTGTACAAAATGTCTGATGAAGGCATTTATGGAGGGACTAGTTGATGTGGGCTCCTGGTTTGAGAGAATACAGGCAGGGGTCCATGGTAGCTGGATGATGAGGTGGCTGGCAACATTGTATCTGCAGTCATAAAGCATAGAAATGAATCCTGATGCTCAACTCATTCATTTTCTCTTTTTTATTCAGTCTGGAACCCCAATCCTTAGAGGTATGTTTCTATGGTGATTCTAAATAAAAGTTAAATTGACAAGATTAACCATTACATCTGGCTTAAGAGCCATGCTTTATGCCTTTATATTCTGTTTCTCATATTTCCCTGGCCAAATTATAGGTATGTTTCAATGACTATAGATTGCTGTGAAACAATCTTTTGTACACTATAAATATATATTACTCTTATTGGCTAGTAAAGAGCTGACTGGCCTATAGCTGGACAGGAGGAGATTAGGCAGGAAAACCAGAGTAAGAGGATGCTGGGAGAAAGAAGGGAAGAATCATGGGAGTGAGAGGAGTCACCAGTCAGATGCAGAGGGAGCAGGAGATGAATGTGCCATGCTAATAAAGGTACTGCCACATGGCAAAGCATAAATATGGAATATGGGTTAATTTAAAATATAGGAAATAGTTAGTAATAAGCCTGAGCTGTTGGCCGAGCATTTGTAATTAATACTAAGCCACTGAGTGGTTATTCAAGAGTAGCTGCCAGGCCAGGAAAACTTTGCCTACAATAGGTGAGTTAAGTTATGACCTCTTTGGTGGTAATAATAAGAGACAGAATGTGATAGATAGACCAGTATTCCCTAGCAGATTTCTTTCCTCACCTAGCAACTCTTGATGTCCTGTTTTGATCAAATTGCAGAGCAGCACTGTCTGGCAAGCTCTACATGGTCACTATCCCCTGGTATTGGACAATGATAGGAGGTTATGGGATTGCTGCCTAAGTGAGACATTCCAGTAACAGCTGAAATGCTTATCTTAGAGGGATGCTGAAAATGGGATCGACTGAGTGTTGGAGAGCTAGGAGGGATGAAGGTGAGATACTGCTCTCCTCAATAAGGGAATCAAGGAAGTTCACAATATTCTGGTAGGGTTTACTTCCATTGAGAGCCTCATGACTGGAGAAAAGCAGTCAGCTCTTTCCCATGGAATAAAACCATGCTAAGAGCTTCATGGAATTCCTGAGTTATGCTGTTCTGTGTTCCCCACAGCTCACAGTTAATATAAACCTACCTCACTTTTTTACATTGCATACCCTTGGGCAGCAGAACTCAGGTAGCTTGTGAAAACTCAGAGAGCATTGGATGTGTGGGTTTCCATTACTAGATACTGATCCAATAACTGATCAAACATCAATATATTTATGAAGTCCCAAATGTACGCATTATGGCCTATGTAATGGGAAGTACTCTTCCGTGTGACAGACAGCATCTTATGTCACTTTACTTTTTCATATGGAAATAAGACTTGGGCAGCATCATCTGTCATCATGCTTCTGCTTTCCCACAATCTTCTTGTGGATCATCATCATTGTCTTTGGGCGTATATCAGAATTCCAGTCTCAAGAGGCCCGAGCCATGGGAAATCTGGGTCCACTGCTGCCCTCCCAGTTTGGGCTCTTCTGGGGTCACTGATTTTCTACCATTAGCTCTGGCCCTTCTGCTGTTCTTTGCTGAGTAGCACAGACTTTGAAGGAAGAGGCACAGAAGGATCAAGCAATCTGTTCGCTGATGAGGAAGAATGCTTTGTTCAGTCCTCAGAGCTACCAAGAATTACCCCTTCAAGCCTGCCCAGCCATGTTCCCACAGGGCAGTGGTTCTCAACCTGTGGGTCACAACCCCTTTAGAGGTCAAATGACCCTTTCAGGGGAGTCACCTAAGACCATTGGAAAACAGATATTTACATTATGATTCATAACAGGAGCAAAATTACAGTTATGAAGTAGCAACAAAAATAATTTTATGGTTGAGGGGATCACCACAACATGAGGAACTGTATTAAAGGGTCTCAGCATGAGGAAGGTTGAGAACCACTGCCATAGGGTGATTGCCAAACCAGAATATATCCATGCATTTTTCATTTTTCTGTGTCTTCCCCACTTGCAAAGGAAAAATTAGTTTTCTACAGTGGAGTCTCACTGGCTCACACTTCAGGGGAGGCCCCATCCCCAAGTGGTAGATGGCCAACTCAGACAACTCTCAAGGGGATTTCTGTAGACTTTTAGTCACATACAGTCTTTTTTGGGCATTTTCTGTCTCATTAGTCTTTTGCTTATATAATGTGGTTTTAGATTTTGTGTTTGTATGTGTGTCTGTATGAGTTTCTTTTTGTTGTTTGTTTGTTTGTTTGTTTGTTTGTTTTTAAAGAGAAAGAGAAAGAATGGGCATGGAGTTGGAGAATTGTGGAGGATCTGGGAAGAGCTGAGGGAGGAGGAAACATTAGAATGTATTGTATGAAAAAAATTAATTAAAAAACAAGGAACAAGCAAAGGAATGAGTCTTCTTTACTCAGCTGTAGTTCAACAAGACCCAACATCTATACATGGTTAGGAGAAAGGATGTCTATTTTACTGGGTATAAAAGACATCAAAGTCTAAAGTAATGAATGTCTCCCCACTTTTACTTTCTTAGGGCATGAGGTAGAATGTCTTACATTCCCCCTTAATTAGTTACCTACTTCAAACCTAGGAGAAATTTTAATATAGCATAAAAATTTCAATACACATGGACTTACCAGCTCCAGGCCAGTCTGCTACATCAAAGAAGCCTAGAATAAGACTTTGGGTTTGCTAATCATTCTCTAACAAAACAGAGTGCCTTTTACGTTATAATCTAAATACAAAATCCCATGTCTTATTATTATTTATTTTTCAGTTTTCAAGTGTTCGGAAAGATCGTCCAGAGGAAGCATTGCCAGGGACCTCATAGAGCGGCGACTGAAGAAGCCAAACTCCTCACTGTGCTCTGATGAAAGCAGGCAGCCCTTCGAAGTCCTTTGATATTCTGTCACTGTGGTGATTTGGCAGTAACTTTGGCAGTGTGAATAGAGGAGAGGTGGAAAAAGAAATCTCATTTGTGCAGTGACACTTGGCTGGGATTGCTCCATAGAATGTTATGCTGGAACTAAATGAAATTGTCCACCATTATGTTAATAGGCATAGCCGTTTATGAAAGCATCTCTGCAATGCTGGAGAACCTTGGGCTGATCTCACTTATGTCCTGTGTCCAGAAGCCTTCCAGGAATAACATAGGTAATGATTGCTCTGGAATGATCTTAGGCCCTTCTCTGCCTACTGATCTCAGTTGGGAGTGTCAAATAATGGTAAGGCTCATTAGTCAGGATTTGAATATTCTGTTTTCATGGACACTGCCTATAGACAGGTAAGTTCATTTCCTCTCTGCTTCCTTTGAGTCCAGCATTACAAAGGTGATGAGGGTGTGGTGTTCCTTGTCTAGTCCCAAACACTTGCTGTGCAACAACACTACTCACGCTGTTGCCTGCTGTGACTGAGGAGGTCTTAATGTTAACACTAATTTGCTGAATAAAATGATTTCATTGCCACACCTTCAACTGAAGCTCACTGAAACATATGTGGTATACTAGCTCAACCCAAAGCTCTTAGTCTAAAGTTGACCTTTAAAGCAAGCAAGCAGCAAGCAAACAGACAATGTGTAGTTCTGGATTTGTGCTCATTGCCTCAGCCTCAGAAAATAAGGATTAAAAATTTGCCTTTGCTCATTGGTTAAGAGCACTTGCTGTTCTTGCAAAGGCCTTGGGTTTGGTACCAGCACTCACATGGCAGCTCACAGCTTTATTTAACTCGTTCCAGCAGATTTGATACCCTCTTTTGACCTCCACAGGCATTGCATCCAGGTGGTACACATGCATACATGCAAGCAAAACACTCATACACATAAAGTAAAAATAAATACATGAAAAGAAAAGTCTGTCTTCATAGTGTTCCTTGTACATTTTTTTTAAATGAAGATGTTCTGAATTTTGCCTGTTTGTTTACCCAAACAAAACAAAATAGGACACTTTCTTTGACACACACACACACACACACACACACACACACACACACACACACACACACACACACTCCTGTTATCTTTTCCTTAACATACTTTTTAAATAAACTATGTTTTTCTAGGGGAAGAGGCTGGTGTCTGAGAGAGAAATCAGTGGTTAAGAGTGCTCACACACTGTTTGTTCTCCTAGAGGATGTGAGATCAGTTTCCAGTATTCTCTTTAGGCTGCTTTCAACCTCCCGTGACTCCAGCAGCAGGGAGCTGGACTCTTATGGCTTCTGTGGGTATCCCAACACATGTGGCAGACTCTTAAACACACACACACACACACACACACACGAATAAGAAAAGCAGATAAGTCATAAAAACAAAACAAAACAAAACAACAACACAACCCTTTGTGTTAGAAGGGACCTAATGTGAAAAACAGTACGGGTGTGAGTGGATATATACGATACATACTGTGCTCTAAAGGAATTCTTTTACAACATATTTAAGGTCCATTGAAGCTTTTGAATTCCACAGAGCACAGGTGGCAGTGTGTGCTGAGTGCACATGACTGGAGCTGAACAGGAAGCAGTTGAATCTCAGGTGGGAGGGGGGAGCAGAGGTGGGGGGGTGCTGGAAAGCACATAAGCGACCTAGCAGCTCGGTTAGATCATGACAGGTGGCTGTTGATTGGGACAGGCATATAACTCACCTGGGTGCCATAGTGGAAATGTCATGCCTTATTTTAGAAGGAAATTAGATTCAGGCTGGGAGACATACTTTCAGGACTAATAATATTCTAGTAACATGTTTTAATTGCGCCTCTTACTAACAGCAATTTTCAAGTTTTCTTTTGACAAGGACTAAGATAAAAATAAAATGATACTAAAACAAAGAAGGTTAGTGAAAAACTGTATAAACTATATAAAATATGATAAGGGATTATAGGACATGTATCCTCCCATAAATTTTGTAAAATGCCATTTTTTAAAAAATAAGTTAAAATTTTAATTAGAGACAGACAAATCTATAGAAAAAGAAAATAGATCCCAGGTGGCCTGCAGCTAGGGGTGCCAGAGAGGACTCAATAACATCACAGAGAGATGTATTTAGGGTGACAAACATGTTCCCCATCTGGATTGTGGCGATAGTTGCTTACCTGTATAAGCTAATGAAGATCATTGATCTGAACGCTTACAATGTGTGAGTTTTATAACATCAATCATACCTTATAAGGTTCATTTTAAAAATTAGCCAGCTGCTGCATCCTGACATTTGATTTATAAATAAGTTCTTGGAAAAGACTCAGAAGCACAGGCAGCAGTAATAGCAGCAGTAGATCACTGGACTTCATTCAGAGTAAGAATTTCTGTGTATCAACAAATAAGAAGATTGGCTGGGCAGTGGTGGCACACACCTTTAATCCCAGCACTCAGGAGGCAGAGGCAGTTGGATCTCTGTGAGTTCGAGACCAGACTGGTCTACAGAGTGAGTTCCAGGACAGGCTCCAAAGCTACACAGAAAAACCCTGTCTGGAAAACAAACCAACAAAAACAAACAGACAACAAACAAACAAACAAACAAACATACACAGAAAAACCCTGTCTGGAAAACAAACCAACAAAAACAAACAGACAACAAAAAACTAAAACAAACAAACAAACATACACAGAAAAACCCTGTCTGGAAAACAAACCAACAAAAACAAACAAACAAACAAACAAACCAAACAAACAAACAAACAAAAACATAATAAACACAGAGAAACTATGGAGTGGAAAAACATTAGGAAATCATGTATCCAATTAGGTTTTTTTACATAGACATAGACACAGACACAGACACAGACACACACACACACACACACACACACACACACTTTGTTTGTGAGCCTATTCTTTAACAGTTGAGTCATTGTTCCATCCCAATATATACATATATAAAGAGCAGCTATGTATGAGTCAATAACAACAGAAAACCCAGCTGAGAGGTGAACACTGGATGTAAATAGGCATTCCTTTAATTACAGCTACAGAAAAATTTCAAGTCTAAAAACTATAGAACTGTTTTCATTTGTAATTTGAATTTTCTATTCTTCTAGTCAGAGAGACATGTAGTGTTTAAAGGGTATTTACAGTTGACTCAAAAAAAGAATATTTCTAAGTTGAGTGAAACAGGAAGAACAGGATAAATGACTTCATCTTTGCCCAACTGTAACTTATTAAGTTGTGGCCCTTGATTTCTTCATCTGTAACATTAAGGACTTGTAACTTCAAATTCCTAAAAAAATGACTATACTCTAAAACTCTTTAAAATCATATATATTGAGAAAGATGCTTTTACAAGGTGGAATTTGATGTACTTTTTAGAATCACAATTATGAAAGGAAATAGAATTCAGAGGCAAAACAAGCTATTTCTGCTCACAAGTGTCATTGTCCTTTGGCTGTATCTCTATTGTACCTGGCATGACTTTACATTCTGATCTATAGTCACATGATGATAAGTTTTATCTCCTTGCTAATTACTAAAACTTCAATTGGGGGTACACTGAGGACTGAACCCAGGGCTAGATACTTTATCACAGTGCCACACTAAGGTTTAAATTCTTTAAGGAAATGATTCAACTTTCCAAATGCCTCCTCTCTTAGTTCCTCTTCCTCTGTCCTAACTTGTCCACTCATTTTCTCCTTGAAACAAGGCAGCTGGAAACAACTTCACAAGTGAATGTAAATCACCAACTTTATGGACCCAGACCCTTCCTCTGACTTGACTGGTCATCTAGACTTCTCTCAAGAGTTGATTTGCATTTCTTTTTCTTTTTCTTTTTCTTTTTCTTTTTCCTTTTCTTTTTCTTTTTCTTCTTTTTCTTTTTCTTTTCTTTTTTCTTTTCTTTCCTTTCCTTTCCTTTTCTTTATTTTCTTGAGACAGGGTTTCTCTGTGTAGTTTTGGTGCCTGTCCTGGATCTCACTCTGTAGACCAAGCTGGCCTTGAACTTACAGAGATCTGCCTGGCTCTGCCTCCTGAGTACTGGGATTAAAGGCATGGGCCACCACTGTTCAGCCTTTGATTTGCATTTCTAACAGTCCTAAAATATTACATTTCTGCTATTGTGTGATTGCATACAACACTGAAGCCTAGCCTTGAGCTTGTCATCTTGGTGCCCACATTTAGTCATAAGCAGTTACAGATGTCACTGCTCTGCTCTTAAGCAACAGTTTCAGTGAGAGGAAAAGGAAGCCATTTTTAATATAAGGATGTAGCAGAGAATCTGATTGACCCAATCCCATTAGAATGATTATACTAGAAATAACAGCCCTTGGCTTTCATCTTATTCTGAATGAGCAGCTATTTTCAGTGTGCATCCCATAATGACTCCCAATTCTCAGAACACTGAAAAACCTTTCAACAGGCTGCATGGCAAAATGAAGTACATTGCTTGTGAGGCAGGAAAAAGATGTGGGTGCAGCACACCGTCTTATCTGTGACCGTGGAATGTCTTTGCTATATCCTGCACATTATGAACCCACAGTAACCATGCATTTGAACTTTATATGTATCTTGTTCCTTGAAGAACAATTTTCTGTTGACCTTTGCATCTCATTACAGGTCAGAACAGAACCTACAGGACCTCTAGAAAGCTCTTGTCACACATATGCTCTCCTCATGTCCATGTTCATGGCGGCTTTATTAGGATGGTCAATTTACTATGCCTTGACAATTTTAATATATTGTGGAATAAGGAAGTATGATATAGACTATCAGAATCAATCCATTCACTCTTCTTCCATTTAAACCTAATGAGCTGGGGGAGGGAGAGAAGAATTGTGAAAAATACTTGTTGGGGAGGTCGTTATTGTAGACACACCCTGCTGACCACCTGCTACAGAGTGACTGCTTGCCTCACACAGGTGAGTTCCCTCTGAGCTATTTTATTTCTGCTACCATGACTCAAACACTCTGATTCTAGTATTTATGGAGAACAAAATTTTGCATTATAGAACATTAATTCCTTACTTTTCAGTAAATACATGTTTTTGGTTTAGAGAAAATTTTTAGTGTTTAAAAATTTCCCTAGTAGACTTCATATTTTAGTAAGTGGATAAAAATCTTATTTAAAAATTCATATCATGTACAGTGAGTTTCTTTTTCATTTCATTCAATTTTCTTTTCTGAGACACAGTATTACCTGTAGCCCAGGCTGACCTGGAGATCACTACTTAGCCAGCCCA